TTTCACCATCTTCGTAGCCCTCCTCTGGACACTCTCCAACAGTTTCATGTCCTTTTTATACTGTGGTGCCCAGAACTGCACACAGTACTCGAGGTGAGGCCGCACCAGCGCAGAGCAGAGTGGGACAATCACCTCCCTCGACCTACTAGCGATGCCGTGCTTGATGCACCCCAGGACACGGTTGGCCCTCCTGGCTGCCAGGGCACACTGCTGGCTCATATTCAACTTGCTGTCTACCACGACCCCCAGATCCCTCTCTTCTAGGCTGCTCTCCAGCGTCTCATCGCCCAGTCTGTACGTGCAGCCAGGGTTTCCTCGTCCCAGGTGCAGGACCCGGCACTTGCTCTTATTGAACTTCATGCGATTGGTGATCGCCCAGCTCTCCAACCTATCCAGATCCCTCTTTTTCATTTTCATCAGATGTGAATGGAAAATTTCAGAAGAGCAGACACTAATCTATTTATCATTTTGACTTTCTTAGGCTGTTTTGTGTGCAGAACTTCTTTATTCCTTCTCCTTCCTAAAGAATGAAGTGGGAATATCCTTGAGTAATGCCAGATGGGACTTGTGTGTGTGTGTGTGTGTGTGTACCTGTTTCTTTTTGGTTTGTCAGGTCCCCATCAGCTGTAAGGCTGCTGAAATTTCTACATGAGCCCCCTTATGCCATAGCATCCAGCCTGTGACTGCACTTTGTCCTTTGAACCGAGACTTGCAGAAGTAAAATAAAATGAAAATAAAAGCATGAAGACAATAGTATCAGATTTGCGCTGGAGATCAAGCGTGTCTCCCAGAATAGGACCCCATTTCCCTGAATATTACAGAGCACATACAGTCAGGAAGAACCATTTAACCGACCAGGGCAGTATCACGACAGCTGGCTCCTAAAACTTTTTCAGACCCTTTTGTAGATATAAATGCAAACAAGATGACTCGGCTGCAGAGTCAAAATGCCTCTTTTAAACAACTGAGATGTGATATATGGCAGCCCTCCTGCATAGAGGACAGTGATCCGTGTGGCAGCTCTTTTTTCATCCTCTATCTCAGTAACTCGGAATGACGACTCTTCAACTCAGATTTTTCTCCCTCAAAAATGTTAAACAAACTGCTTCATGGTATATACTGGGAAAACATGAAAGTTAATGCAAAAATAAGACACCTTACACAGTAAATTATGGGGGTTATAAGTGAAGACTTGTTAGTTTAAAGCTAGCAGTTTAAAAGGGCAATTATTTATGGGGTGGACTTCAGGTTAAATACTTTACCATACTGTGGACTAACGAAGCATTTGGGAATACATTTTCCATCTCCTAACTCAGAAGTTATGGACAAGTCCTCCTGTGGGTCACTTGTGGACACAGAGCTTGCTTTCTTCTCTCGCTGATGTAAACCTACATTTGAATCTGCAAAAAAAAACATTCACGACAGTGGTAGCTAAATTATCCCTCTGAAGCGTTTTGAAAGGTACTTGAGCTTTGAATGATAAATACTTAATGGAAAAACACTTATTTTCTGTAGAAAATAACTGCTTTTCATCATTTGCAAAAAGTTTTTGACTACTGGGATTTCAAGTTGGTCACTTTGCTGGTCTGTTTCAACGAAAACATGATTTTCTGGAAAAAGAACAGTAGTACCAAACAACTATTTTCTGATGTTTTTTAGGTTATTTTTCCTAATAAGAGATTATCAAACTTCAAAAAACTCTTGTGACTAGCCTTTTAATACACAGAGAGGATTTCCTAATGTATGAATATATCTCGTCTTAAGTTGTAACCAGGAACTAGGTTTCTTAATTACATCCCAGGGCAGGATGTCTAGCATATAAAGTAATATTCAATATATATGGACACTACATTCCTACCACAGATCCATGAATTGCTGCCAGTTCACCCAGGGGGGTTGCATGATACCAGAATATTTCTGGTTTGTATGTTCAAGTCTGTTGGATAAAGGAAAGAGTATAATAAGTTATTAGTAACTTATTATTTTTTAATTAGGATACTGGCACAATGGACAGTCTTGAAATACAGGGGACAAATACTGATAAACTCTCATACCATGGTACAAATTGTACAGGTGGAAGCATAAGAAAAATCCGGAGGCAAAGCAGCTAATGTATTTCTTGATTATTTCTTCATCTTTACACAGTCAGTAAAACCTGAATTTGATCTCCTGTCTTCATAAAAAGATATTTTTACTTCCTGACTGCAGACAAAATGATGAAATCAAGTTGTGTAATTATATCTATGAAAAGTTATAAAACTGCACCTGTGATTATACAATGTTGTGTTTAGTGTAAGGTACCACTTTAATCAATTGTAATCAATTCTTAATAAATTTATAAAATTTGTTGTTATAGGCTCTCTACGTCTTAGTCTTCTGTTTATGAGCACAGCTGTTCACACACAGCATTTCTGATGGAGGATAGAAAAAAAGTGTGTTAGTCAACTTTTTGGGGGTAAAGTTAAGCTGTTCTTGGATTGTCTCCTCCCACGTGATTGTGAAAATGTTTCATAATGGGGGCAAAAAGGTTTCTCTTAATAGGAGCAAAAATGCTTCAAATTTTATTTTGAATGGATTTTTTTAAACATGTTTATAACAACGATCACTCCCTTATTGTATTTATGGAGAAATAATAGCCATCTCAGCAGTGATCCATTTAATTTCTTACATTTCTATGTTGTTTTTGAAATTATAACTAGATGGGTTTAAAAGTGATTATAGGATAGCAAAGGACATACTACCTCTGAACATGGTGGGATCTTGTTATTTTTAAATCTGATGAAAAATTCAAGGATTTTTTAATGAAATTGAACTTTGTCAGGCTTGATTTGAAAAGAACTATGGTAAAAGTCTGATAAAAATTGTAAAATAGCTAGAGAGTAGCTGAGTTGGGATAATCTGAGCTATGTGATTAAACAGAAATACGAAATAGAAGGAGGACTGAAAGGTCAATTGTAGAGAGAAATTACTAGCTCCACTAGCTGTTTCATGTCTTATAGTTTGTTGCTCAGATTAAAATTATATGTATTCTATGTATGTCTAACTTGACCTCTAGGAAATTGCCTTGGAAATAGAGCTGAGTGAAAAAATTGATTAGGGGGTGAGGTGGAATGTGGAACACTTAAATGGAAGTGTTTGGATCAGAAAAATTTAACAAATAATCTATAACATAACACTTCAGATTTATGGAATTTGACCTAGAAATAATTTTATTTATTTATTTATTTATTTATTTTATTTGACCTTTTCCAATATTTGTTAAGTGAAATTCCATTTCAGGCTAAAATTCAAAAATGCTTTCTGGAAATAGCTTAAGCAAAATACTATGATAGTTTTGAAGAGAGGCCTTTAATTTGTAAAAAAAAAAGTTGTTCTTTTGCCACCTTTTTCTGAGAGAAAATGTTGACAGATTTCCTTGGCTGGAGCAAAAGCAATTTAAATTTTTGTATCTTCTGGACCTCTTAGAAGCTGCAATGGAAGCAAGAGCATAAGACCTACTCAAACATGAGTAAGGTTATAGTTGCAAAGGCAATTGTGGGTGCAAGTGTCTTTCAGTCTTTTAGCATTTCCAGTATTGTCTAGTCTTGCAAGACTCAGCAGGGAACAATCTTGAGCTTTTTTTTGTATGGTTTCATGCAAGTGTATCCAGGAAACGGCAATCTATATTAGGCAGTCACCCAAATGTTATTTCTGTGAATGAAATTTTATTATTGTAAAATAGCAAGAAGACAAGTATCATTTGGCCCAACAGACATTTTTTTTTTTTTTTGTCTTTGTGGGACTGACTGAAATTAAGAGGAGGAAAAGCCAGTCCATACACTGGATGTATTCCACTGGTTGCCAGCAAAGCATATGCTGCAGCTTGACATCTTAGTGAAAACTGTGTTACCTTTTGCATGCCGAATAAACTTAACTAAGTTAAGATGGCAAAAATATACATTTCTCACATTGTTTATTGAATTCATTTTCCCAATATCCTGTCTATGTATGATTTCTGATGTAGATGAACCTACATTTTATTTTCCCACTAAAGTGGGATGCTGAAATAAAGTAATGCATTTGGAATCTTTATCTAGTCAATTTTTTCCCTGACCCTTAGCTCTGCTGGTTGTTAGATGGAATAATGAGTGTTCTGTCTGCTTGAAATCAGTGCCTGCTCTAAGACAGTAATTCTTTGCAATGTTTTGCAGCTGTCCTGAACATACTTATATTCACAGCATGAAAAATACAGTATTTTAATTCATGTGGAAACAAACAAACAAATAACAACAAAAAAAAAACAAACACAGAACAATAAAAAAATTGTGCAAAGTCTGAAAACGGAATCTTGTTCACATTTGAAGGCAGAAGGGAATTGCAAAGTAGCCTGATCCTAGACAAGCTGTATATGTTAATGACTACCTTTAATCATCTTTAAATATTTTGCAGCCTAATTAATCTGTGCTATATGAATTTATTAATCCAGGAGTGTCCTTTATCAGACAAAATTTGTATAAACTGGTTTTCCTTAGCTCAAGTCCAAATCTGCTAATTAAGGGTCACAGTCCACGTTGTGAAGTAGCAGAGAGGGACCTAGATGTTGCAGCTGCACTTGTGCAGATCAGAAGTTATATTAGATTTACCCTGTTAGAACATAGAAGAGATATGACTATTTTCCTTGATATTTGCTCAGTGAAAGAAAAAAAATCCACTATAGAGTCTTTATTTATACATTGGTTCATACATTGGTTCTCTATTAAATATTTGTTGTATTCCAGTTATATTCCAGTGTTATTAAAAATAAATATTTGTAAAGGACAATAAATGCAGAAATGAAAGTTACTGCAGAATCTAGAGGGTCACAAAAAATCATTAATCAGGCAATGCTGTTTAATGTTGAAGCAATTATATTAAAAGAGTGACTTGCATTTACTGTTAAAATGGCTTCTTTAAGCATATCTTCTCAGTTGTGCATTGGAGTTCTATTGTAAGTCCTACATAGTTTTTCAGATCTGAATAAAATTGTATCCATCTGTCTCCTTTCCAGCACTACAGCTCTGTCACACTCTTCAATGAAGCATGTAGGAGATGGAGAGGCTTCCTTGAGTCCGCAGAAAGGAACTGACATGTGGAACTAATAATCAGGTGAGTTTAAAAGACGCGTCTGCAGCAACATTTTGCTATGAATCTGGTTGTCAGAGGTACGGTATCAGATTAAAGTCTGGGAGAAATATGGGTAATGATTAATAAAAAAATAAACCAGTGAATTATTAGAGAGAAGTATTTCATAAATATTTTATTCCTTGTAGGCTGATTTATATAGAACTTAATTTTTTCCTTGCATTTATTTAAAGTTCTATTCTAAATAGCACTTAATATGCAGATTATTTGTATGCATAAAGCTCGTTATGAGCAAAGACTGCTCAGAATTTGTTGTGAGTGAACTGGATTGGTCTTGTAGGTCAACAAGTTTCTCTACCTCAAAGAAATGGATGTTGCTTTCAGAATCAAGTTTAAAATATAAGCAAAATTATTAGTTGAAGATTCACTTTCCAAGTATGCATACAAAATAGTCAAACAGAAAAAAAAAAAACAAAACAAACAGGAATTTAATTGAATGTTAACAGAAAGATTTCCTTCTGTACACCAGTTGGAAAAGTTTGCTTAATTGTGGATAAAGTATACATATTTTAATTTTATTCTGAATTCCAAATACTGTCTTTTTTTCCAACAATGAAGTTACATTAAAAGGATTGTTTTCTCACCTGAAGTTAGTCAGTTCTACAGCCATTTTTCCAGCTATTTTAGCAATAATATATGCACATTTAGCATTGGCTATTGCTGCTGAAGAGTGCATTCTTTGCATGTAGATATTCTCCTCTCCTTTATGACTGTCCATCTCATCCTTGCAACAGTGGGGACTGGGGACAACCCTCTTTCCTGAGAATTGTAGTTTGTACTAGGTGAAGGGTCTGCTGTTTCCATTGTACAAGGTACAAGAAAAACTGAAAATACACATAATACCTTCCCCGAGAAGTTCATGAGGGCCAAAGAATATTTGGGTGAGTCGTTACAGCTGTCTTTTTCTGCAAGTTAAACTAATAATGAAGACTGAGCTGTAAACTGTTTGCCAATTTTGAGAGTTTATTCTTGGTTAACAGGAATATTTGGGGTTCGTCATACCTAGTTTGTGAAAAATAGGTTGGGAATTTTTTTCAATTTTATTTAAAAGTTGCAAGGTTTAGACCAAATAAAATTTTACAGAAAAAATAAATGGAGCAGTAAAATAAATGAAGACATTGAACTAGTGCTGAGGAGAACTGTGTTTTGTTTTTTTTTAACCTCTGGATTTAAATTTTAAAAGTGAAGGAGTTTGCTTCAGGGCAAAATTAATTCCTGTCATTTCTGTAACTTCTTTAGGAGTTGTTATATTGGAATAACAGTCCTCAAATTACAGGGAGTATTTCATTCAATAAAAGTTAAATTACCATTTAACTTATGGTAAACCTGCAGATAATTCTGCTCCATATTGACTTCAGTGTTGTTCTTTATCTCTGCACAGCTCATCTTTCCTTTCTTTAGTTTAATTTTCTATACTGTCGTTTCATATGTACATACAGGGGTGGATTTTGGAGGGACAGAGTGAAAGAAATTAAAGAGGCTCTCATTCACTGGTTAGATGGTAGATAGTGAAGGCATATACAATTACACATAACTTATATAAAGTTAAGGCTGCCTTGCTCCTTCCCATTACAATCAAGGCTGAGCTGTTTGTACTGGTTGTACTGTTTGTGTTTGTACTGCTTTTTTCATGTTTTGAGGGTGCACTAGTGCAGGTAGATACATGAGCACAGCACACATACACAATGAGAGGGGCGTCAGCAACATATACACTTCATACTTCATGTTGGGGAATGTAAGCAGGGTTTTTTTATTTAATTTTCTCTATTCCTTCCTTTGACTTAACAAAAGTTTGAAATGTGAAGTTCATTTTCTCAGCCTTGCTGCCCAAAGTATCATAAAATGTGGAGATCCTGACAAAGAGGTTAGCCTTACACTGTTGATTGAGATGGTTTTTCTTAACCTTCTAACAATATTTGATGTGGCACACCTAAAGGCAATTTGTGTCTCTCTAGAGTGGTTCATGGGAACAGGAAGTGTGTGTGTATACATCAGGTCAGAGAACGAACTACAAATTTCACAAGATGTCTAAGAGCAAATTTGCTTTAGTGCTAGCTGCATAGTATACTTTTTTTTTTTTTTTTTTTTTTTTTTTCCCCCTCTCTAAATTTCCCTTTCTGGTTTAATTACATGCTAATGTGATAAGTTCTGTCAGGCAAAGACTTGTTTTATTTAGAGAAAAAATGGTATGTTTGCAGAGAACATGTCTCAACAGGAGAGCTGAACTCTTTAGAGGAATAATGGCCTCCCAGTTATCACAGCGAAGGTCAAGGGCAAGCATAAATATAGGACCTGGAGCACAGCTTGACAGAAAAGGAGGCAAGAAGTGAAATAACAGAAGATGGCATTGAACACTGAGGTGATAAATATGACGGCTACTGTACTACTAAGGCCAGGATGGAAAAACGTATAAAATTGTATGATTCAGTGGAGATGTATATATATTGTGATAGGTTTATCTAAGCATCATTATTAAGCAATATTTTTATGTGCAATAGTAGTTAAGTAGTCTGCTGATCATTTGCAGTAAAAACGGTACACATAAAGAGGTTGGACTCTGTTCTATTAAACTGTCCAGATATTGAGTAACCTAGGCTCAAGCATACCATCCTATTAACTTCAACATAAAAGGTACCTAGACTTTTAGTTTATGAGGATATTGGAAATACTACAGGCAAGGAGGATCAATCACAATGTTGTTTTTGCTGTGATCAATAGAAGACTTCTGTGACAATAAGCTGTGAAATGGTTTTCCAGAACAGCTTACATGTCTAAAGAGTAAAATACGTCCCTTCATGTGGCACTGCTACCAAATGGAGGATTTAATTCAACCATTATTTTCCCTCTAGAGAGCAGAATGTTGCAGCCTCCTGATCTGACCCTCACTGTTGTTTACTTCCTCATTAAAGCCCTGTGAGGATCCTGCACTTTGATATAACGCACACAATATGCAGTTATAAATTTCTTTGACAGGCACTGTCTCTGGTTTATCTAGTGAATGCTATTATCAAGATCCCAATCCCGACTGAGCCCTCTGGTTGTAGCTCTTTTGTCTGTTAGTTTAGGATTCATTGTTTATAATAATGTTATAAAAGAATTAGGAGCCTTCCCAAATGGGCAGATAGATAATTCATATTAATATATTTTTAAATCTTGTAATAGAAAGCAAACAGTTTAGTGTTTCATTACATTGGTGTCTACATCAGACCTAATGGTTACATTTCAAGGTGGGCATGGACAAACTGTTTATCTATATACATATGTTCACAAGCACTTCACGATCATATTTGGAAAATACTGACTTCCACTTCAGGCCAGTCTATGGAACATCTAATTTATCAACAGATGTGATTTTTACGGAAGACTTATACCATGGTATTCAAGAGAAAAATTTGGAAAATTGCAGAATAATAATTACTGCTGTAATTATAACAGCAGGAATATTTAAATTTTTTCTAATCATTTACAAAATAGCTGCTCCTGGAGCTTTACTTACTGAATAAAATTTTCTCTCTTTATTTTCAAGCAGTTTTCAATTTTCTGTAGCATAGTGTATTTTTAATTAACTCTATGAATTGTGATTATTTTCCCTGGAATTCAAGAAGCAAAGGTCAAATGTAATTGTAGTGATGACTTTGCACTCTCAAGAGGTATTTATAACATAGAAGAAAACTTCCTCTTTTTAACTGAGAATGTTTTTTACCTAGTAAAGCAAAACTGATTGACTAACAGATGCCTTAAGCTAAAATTCCTTCATGATTGTTCACATTTTCAAGTGAGTGGTTTATTTATTAGGAAAAAGAAAAATAACAATATTACAACCATGTTAAATTGTTACAACAAGGACTAGAAAACAAGCCATTTAAACTAAATTTTATTCCACACTTTTCATATTCCAATAAATTTTTACTTGTTTCTTCTGTAAGGAAATGCCATTAACCAGACACCTTAATTATGAAACCCAAGAAAAAGTCCCACGTTGTCTTCAGTACTTTGTGAGCTTTACTTTTCAATGGGTTTCATTCTTCAGCTAAAAGTATGCTTAAGTATGCTAAAAGTTATAGGTACAGTTAATGGCAACTTTGTACAGAGAAGTTCAATAATTTCAGGTACAGAGACAAAATTTTTAAATTAAGATATACAGAGTTGCACTGATCAGAATATCCATTATTTTTCCTTGTAATTTATGAATGCTAAACATTATCTTTTAAATCAATTACTATTTAATTAAAATCATATTTGTGTCTCTCTGAAGTTGAGCAGAAAGTGTGCTGACTTTGATCTCTCTGTCTTATTTACTTGTCTGAAAAGAAAAGCAATAAATTCTGTATACAGATTAAAGTTCTGATAATTTGGGGAATAGGCAATTTATTTTGTTCAAGTGGATGTTGCTGAATTAACATCGTTGAATGTCTAGATCAGTATCCTGTGTGCTGGCGAAAAGTTTCGAAGACCTGCTTGTTTATTATGTATTCCTGCAAAAGGAGGAGGATTGTCTGTATGTTAGTGATGATGGGCATGTTTGGACATCAAGAGCTTTTGTCTCCCTTTATACTCTTGGTTCATGCTAAGACTAAAGGACTGCTGTGACTTAGTTAACTTTTCTTTTACAGTAGACTTTTAGTCTACTAAAAATGCTTTTTAGAGTACTTTTTGCTGTATTCGATCTCCCACTTAGGCAAAATTCTTCACAAACTTAGCAGATAAAATGTTATTTAGCAGGCACAGTATTAATAACTGGATATATTTATCAACCATTTATATTCTGCAAGTATGAAATACCTCCATGTTTCTAACAACAAAAAATACTTCTGGTGATAAAGTGGTAAATGGTGATTTGCAACCATTACATATGAAAATCTGCAATGACACATCTAAGCACCTTGCATGTATCCTCTGTGATTCCTTTTTTTGAGGTTAAAACACAATGCCATTATAAGAGGTAAGCACTTCACTTCATGCAG